TAGGTCGGAGGCCATCGCCCTTAGGTTGGAGGCCATCGCTAGTAGGTTGGAGGCCATCGAAAGTAGGTTCAAGGCTATCGCTCTTAGGGTGGAGGCCATCGCTAGTAGGTTGGAGGCCATCGCTATTAGGTTCAAGGCTATCGCTCTTAGGTTGGAGACCATCGCTATTAGGTTGGAGGCCATCGCTATTTAGGTTCGAGGCTATCGCTCTTAGTTTGGAGGCCATCGCTATTGGGTTCAAGGGTATCGCTCTTAGGGTGGAGGTCATCGCTCTCAGGTTGGAGGCCATCGCTATTTGGTTCAAGGCTATCGCTCTTAGGGTGGAGGTCATCGCTCTCAGGTTGGAGGCCATCGCTATTAGGTTCAAGGCTATCGCTCTTAGGGTGAAGGTCATCGCTCTTAGGTTGGAGGCCATCGCTATTAGGTTCAAGGCTATCGCTCTTAGGGAGAAGGTCATCGCTCTTAGGTTGGAGGCCATCGCTATTAGGTTCAAGGCTATCGCTCTTAGGGTGGAGGTCATCGCTCTTGGGTTGGAGGCCATCGCTATTAGGTTCAAGGCTATCGCTCTTAGGGTGGAGGTCATCGCTCTTAGGTTGGAGGCATCGCTATTAGGTTCAAGGCTATCGCTCTTAGGGTGGAGGTCATCGCTCTTAGGTTGGAGGCCATTGCTTTCAAAAGCACAACCTAGGCAGTTTCGGCGGCCAGTGGCCTGTGCATGATCTTTCGATGGTGGTCTGCGATGGAACGCTTCGCCACCCAAATGGTGCGTCGGCTGCTGCCTGGGAAATGAACGGACACCTACCAAATTTCGGTCAACGTCCTGATCTGCTGACGCTCATTTATGGTGAAAGGGACTGCCCTAAGCTGCTAGGCACAATAAGCTACTAGGAACAAGTGCATCGCTTCTAGTAACAAGTGCCTTACTAGTAGTAACAAGTGCCTTACTCGTAGTAACAAGAAGCTATTAGAAACAAGTGCCTTACTAGTAGTAACAAGTGCCTTACTAGTAGTAACAAGAAGCTAGTAGAAACAAGTGCCTTACTAGTAGTAACAAGTGCCTTACTAGTAGTAGCAAGAAGCTATTAGAAACAAGTGCCTTACTAGTAGTAACAAGAAGCTGCTAGAAACAAGTGCCTTACTAGTAGTAACAAGTGCCTTACTAGTAGTAACAAGAAGCTATTAGAAACAAGTGCCTTACTACTATTAACAAGTGCCTTACTAGTAGTAACAAGAAGCTATTAGAAACAAGTGCCTTACTAGTAGCAACAAGTGCCTTACTAGTAGTAACAAAAAGCTTTTAGAAACAAGTGCCTTACTAGTAGTAACAAAAAGCTTTTAGAAACAAGTGCCATACTAGTAGTAACAAGTGCCATACTAGTAGTAACAAGAAGCTATTCGAAACAAGTGCCTTACTAGTAGTAACAAGTGCCTTACTAGTAGTAACAAGAAGCTATTAGAAACAGGTGCCTTACTAGTAGTAACAAGTGCCTTACTAGTAACAAGAAGCTATTAGAAACAAGTGCCTTACTAGTAGTAACAAGTGCCTTACTAGTAGTAACAAAAAGCTTTTAGAAACAAGTGCCATACTAGTAGTAACATGTCCCTTACTGGTAGTAACAAGTGCCTTACTAGTAGTAACAAGAAGCTATTAGAAACAAGTGCCTTACTAGTGGTAACAAGAAGCTGTTAGAAACAAGTGCCTTGCTAGTAGTAACAAGTGCCTTACTAGTAGTAACAAGAAGCTATTAGAAACAAGTGCCTTACTACTATTAACAAGTGCCTTAGTAGTAGTAACAAGAAGCTATTAGAAACAAGTGCCTTACTAGTAGTAACAAGTGCCTTACTAGTAGTAACAAGAAGCTAGTAGAAACAAGTGCCTTACTAGTAGTAACAAGAAGCTATTAGAAACAAGTGCCTTACTAGTAGTAACAAGTGCCTTACTGGTAGTAACAAGTGCCTTACTAGTAGTAACAAGAAGCTATTAGAAACAAGTGCCTTACTAGTGGTAACAAGTGCCTTACTAGTAGTAACAAGAAGCTATTAGAAACAAGTGCCTTACTAGTGGTAATAAGTGCCTTACTAGTAGTAACAAGTGCCTTACTAGTAGTAACAAGAAGCTGTTAGAAACAAGTGCCTTACTAGTAGTAAGTAACAAAAAGCTTTTAGAAACAAGTGCCATACTAGTAGTAACAAGTCCCTTACTGGTAGTAACAAGTGCCTTACTAGTAGTAACAAGAAGCCATTAGAAAAAGGTGCCTTACTAGTGGTAACAAGAAGCTGTTAGAAACAAGTGCCTTACTAGTGGTAACAAGTGCCTTACTAGTAGTAACAAGAAGCTATTAGAGACAAGTGCCTTACTAGTGGTAACAAGTGCCTTACTAGTAGTAACAAGTGCCTTACTAGTAGTAACAAGAAGCTGTTAGAAACAAGTGCCTTACTAGTAGTAACAAGTGCCTTACTAGTAGT